TTGATGCGCTGCTATGTGAAAGGGACAGGAAAGAGCAGGCAGCTGCAGCTACCAAGCAGAGGAGCTGCGAGAGGAAAAGAAGCGGCTGCTGTATAGTAAATTATAAACATGTTGTTTACATCCAATTATTGGTAAGGACAAATAGGTCCGTCCAAAATTTTGGTAGGGACATGTCCCTATGGTCCCTATGCAAACCTACGCCCATGCTGACAAGAGTGCTACTTGTATGTTTCCTAACTTTATAGTTACTTATAAGAATTATATAAGAATGGGAAATGACAAACAATACACCAAAAGGCTCACTTTAAAAAGCATCTTACAAACAAAAAACATCATATCATTGCTCCTATTAAAATACGCTCAGGTAGTTTCCCGCCTTAAGGAACCTTTTGAAGATTTAAAAACTGGTGAGCTTTTTAATTTTGTCATTTTTACATCGTCCTTTTTCACTGTCTGTGATCTTGTTCTCACTCTCATGTTTTACAAGAATGATAACAGTTTGACGATGATGATTGATGAACAATCAATAACCTTTGTCAACTCTACAGTGACTCTATAGGTTTCTGTATTAAAACAAACAACAAGAGTCTCATTGTTACATTTTTTATTTATTTTATATATATATTTACAACAATGTAAGGGTCTTGGTCTTAGTGGTCTTGCTGAGGAGGATTGTTGGTCTTGAAATACTTCTATACCTTTTTTGATTTAGAGCATATAAACATTCAAGATAACACTGATTTATCCCCAATATCTGTACATATTAAAGTCAAACATACACTATATATCCAGAAATATAAACTGACATACCTTGACACATATATGAATTTACTGGCCTCTGGTTGTTATGATAATAGTACACCCTCTGATGATATTACAATTTTAGTCCCTATAGGAAGAAATTAGGAAGGAATCCTTCTAAAAATGCACACTCATTCATTTCTTCATGACTATGTAAGGCAGGTAGGGTCCATTAGTACTGTAAACCTTTTTCTTCAGAGATGGGGGCCAGATAACTAGACTGCTGTCGTTGCTTGCTCTACACTGCTGACTGTGATATTTTGCATTCCACTTAGTGGTGTAAGGTTCAGAAGCATAGCACTTGAACATTAGGTTTTCAGCATGAGACGTTTGAGCAAACATATAGCCAACGAGAAGTTTTGATTTCTATAGCCATTGAATGAGGAAAATAGCTTCCCCTTTACACAGTGTGCCTCAGCGACTGCTGTTATTTTATGTGGTCCACCACTTTGTGCCTGAGTCATTACTGTTCCCACTAACTTTTACTTTAATGTAGTACAAACAGTCGACTGAGGCATATTCAGAAATCCTTGAGTTCCTGAGAGTAACCCATGCTTTTACCAATGCCCTTAAAAGCAGTCATTATTAGGTGATGGATTTTACACAACCATGGCCGTGGAATTGAAAGGAAAACCTGAACTATATATTTTCAGGAGTTTACCCCCTATCTTTTTGCAATAGTGATCAAATCAGTGGAGTTTGATAACTAGTATTATGATCTTTTTAATCAGTGTAGTCATATTTGTTTAGCCATTTTCCTACAGATAATTTAAAACATAATTTGTTATTGTCTCTTTATGCTTGTTCATTCTGCTCAATGTTGAGCACCAGTCCTTTAGTGTCCACAGGAGCTTGATTTGAACTGTTGAAGTATAACTTGTTGTCAAAGGTGCCTTCCCCCAAAGTGGGCATAGGTAACCGTATCCTTTTGCGGAACAGGAGGAAGGCACCTAGTCCCACTATGGCTATGACAATTAGCACAATAGCCAAGGTGATTCCCACAGACCCATGTGATGATGCTTCTTCAACGGTTTGAACTGCAAAAGGGAAAAAATCTAATTTAATACGCTGCATTGATTTTAAATATTTCAAGGACTAAATAAATGTATTTACTTACCTACAAACTCTGGCTTTGATGTAGGTGAGATAACTGCAGATATATAGTAAGAGGTTAGTGTGTTTACCAAATAGGTAATTTGGTAATATATAGCATTTTCAACTCACCTTTAGGTGTTTTGCAGATGAAGGGCCTGTATCTGTTGCAGCTGTTTGTGCTCCACTGTCCACTGTCGGAATGGATGTTAACACATGTGTCTGTGTTTGGCATTCCTGTTTTCCAGTTGGTATAGTCTACAGTGCTTTTATCGATCCACATCCATTCATCTGAATTAGAGAAACATTATTCAGGTTAATTGGGCTGTATGGCCAGGAGGTAATTAACTGCAACTTCATTTCACTTCTGTGCTCCAAGTTCTTGCTTTGGTGCTTTTTTTCTTTCATGGATTACATACATACAATTTTTGCTTAGTTACTTTTCAAAGGGTGCTGCTTGTGCTTGCCTGTTTGAATTTGGGCACTACTCCAAGAACTTTTTGTGAAACTTGGGTAAAGGTTAGTTTTTCACTTTCATTGTCACTTTTTAAAGTTATAGTTGGAGGATGTTCTTTTTCTGGGTGGATCATCAAAATAAGTGGTCCTCCTAATTGTCAGTCATTCTGGTGATATGTTGACGTAAGGCCGTCCTATGTGCTCTTCCCCATAGCTATTTTTGTCTGAGCATGCGCACTTTCAGGCGTATATGTGTGGTGAGCTACAGTTTCAGCCAGTCATTTGAGCTTGCCTTTCTCATTTCTTTTTTATTTCAATTCTTTGAAAATGGCCAAGGGTCGTAAGAGAAAAAGTGTCTACAAAGTGTATGAGAAGAAAAGAAAGGCCTCAGAAGAGGAAGATATATACTGGAATGCGTTTCGGGATTGTCACCATAGGCTGTCACTGCCCGACAGCAGCGACTAATAACAAAGATGGCGCAGGCACTGCGCTTTGGAGGAGGAGTTACATGACCAACGGAGCAAAAAGAATTGATCCTCTATCTGAACTTTTGCAATCCAGAGTGTGCACGAGGACAAATAGGCTCGTTCATTCTCTCGCAAGCAATTAGTAGGCATTCCCTCTCTGGAGTGGGTACAGGGTAATAAATTTTTTTTTAAAGTGGAGAGGGCACATTTTTTCAAGGGCGGGTCTTTTTGACATGGTTTGAGCTGATCAGTCTGCCCACACTCAAACTTAGCCCAGGTTGAAGTGACCTCTAATAACACAAGATAGTTGTAATGACAAAAAAAGTTACACTTACTGGTCTACATAAGGTGATTTGGTGAGTCTATTGTTCTTGCAAGCCATTCAGGCAAGGGTGACAGGATGGATTTGAGAATGAAATAACCTGCATTTTCTGTAATAAGTAAATGTAACTTTTTTTTATTAATTTTGATAATTTTTTTGAAAATACCTACAGTTTGACTAACCTGGCATAAGCCAAATTGATACTGAAAAGGCTCCTGTGGAAAGTCTTCGCAAAAAGGTTACTCATTCAGTGTCATGTTTTAAACCCATTGGGTAAATCACCACGTGGCACCTCCCTCCCATGTTGAGCTTTTAGCTAACCGCAGCAGCAGTAAAAGCTATGACGTGCCCCATTCTTGATTTGTTTTACAACTAGCGGATGTTAACTGATATCCAGTATCAATATCTTACCAAATCTGTCCGGGAAGAAAGTGCAAACATCTTTCCTATCTACAAAGGTACAAATCTAATTTTTTATGCTTGTTTAAAAAAAAAGGTAATAGAGGATATTCCAGCTCAAACTGCCGCAGCCATGTTTGTTTTGCTTGAGTCTGCCACTTCTGGCTTAGGTTATACACGTCACTGCATTTCATTTGTTACAAATTTTTTCTGTATTCGAGGCCAGTACATCTATTGGCTTTTGACAAGTAGTTTGTGAATTCAAAAATCTCACAGCAATTAATTTTGCTTGCAAGGTAACAGTATGACTGCAATGTATCTCAATACCAAATAATACAGATTTTGGTAAAGGAAAAGTTGCTCCAATTTCTGCAGGTAATTAACATTTCACTTTATGACAAACTGTGATTGCCATTCGGTTAGCTGCTAACCAACCTACGCGACTGACTGATAAGTCATAAAATGTAATTTGTTTTATTTTCTGTAGCCATATCCTCTGTTACAGATGATATGAGAATGTTACAACACAACTTTTTTTTTCTTTCTTGACCTTTATAGTTTCAATATTTACTCCTAAAATGTGAACTTCTTGTAAGATATATCATTTTTAACTAACCCTCATAAGCTTACCATCATGTGTCTTGAAGAGACCAATCCAAAAAGATTTCGCCCCGTCCTGCAGCAGTTCAATATTCTTTTGAATGAATGCTCCCTCAACAGGATCCTGAATACTTACTAGAGATGCACCTGGAAATCAAAAATTGCAGAACTGTAAGAATTCTGCCACATAAATAAATAAATATGTGCATAATTTTAAAACTTACCCATTTTTATACATTCAACTGATGCATGGGCCCAGTTATTCACCACTGAGCTCATGAAAGAATAGCAGTGACCTCTAAAAGGTATCCAGGTTTTTTGCTTCTTGGACTCTGGACAGTTGCCAGGAAGCTGTGGCGGCTCAGTTGGTGCTAAGTCTGAAAAGGAGGCAATGCCTGTGATCCAGTTTTAAAACTAAATGACTGTACGGTAATCGAGAGATTTGCTTACCTGGTGACCTTTTGCAGATGGAGTAGTAAGTATTGGAGCATTCTGCTGTCTTCCATGTATGATCAACATCAATGTAAACACAGCCATAATTTTTTGGCTCATTCTTCCCCCATTTAGTGTAACGGAGAAGCCAGTTGTCAACCCACTGAAAGCGACCCCCAGTCTAGAAAAAAGTAGAGTGTGCAGTTTTCTAATCAGGCATTGAAAGCCTTTTTGTTTAAATGGTAGTTCAAGTGAAAATATATAAAAATTGATTTACCACATTGTTGTTGAGGCCGATCCAAACAGGCTCTTTAAGCAAGGATATCTGTAAGGTGATGAAAGCCTGGACTACCGGGTTTAGGATACTGGCCAAATCTGCATCATCTGCCTGGCATTGTCTCCGAGCTTCATCCCACCTCATTTTTTGGACCACCACCTTGTAGGAATCATTACCAACCATGTTGAAGGTATTTGGTGACACAGTGGTAGGTGGGACCACAATCTGGGAATCTGGGCAAGCATGACACATAGACATTTTTGATAGGCTTATCTTAGAAGTCCTTGCGTCACATCTTTTAACCTTATTTCCTTTCCTTTAGCCACAAAGATAAAAATTCGGTCTACAAATAGGCCTTATGTAGGATAAACATAACATTAAGTTAAGATGTCCATGTATAGGTTGATAGAGATGCACTAGTTGAAAAACAATTTCTCAAGCTAAATTAATAGGTTACCATTGAAGAAATGGTATGAGTCAGGGTAGATATGCTACTCAAGTACTAATGAGATTTAAAGAGATGTTATATGACAACCAAAAAGCATGAAGTTCTGTACAAATTCTGTCTTTGAAGAATGATTCGCCTGGCAACGTTGGAACAATTTTTTCCTTTAGTCATATTTTCCTATATCTGGAAAATGCAAAGGAATGTATTTACATTTATAATGGTATGATAGGTTCATAATTATTTCTCATTTATCTTACTTTCCTAAACATCAAAATGTGTTTGATTGATTGTTTTGTTTCTCAATAAAACATGACAGTAAAATGTAGGGATTTTTATTTTTGTATTTTATACCCTCTATTCTTTATGTCTTGTTGGACAGTGCATTGCTCACCAAATTTCTTTTTACAGACAAAGCCACGTTTGGAACCACAGTCCTCCACCTTCCACAGTCCTTTCATTCTAAGGCTGCTGCCGACCATGACCACACAGTCAAACACCTGTTAGGAAGAAGAAGAAAAAGTTGTTTCCTTTTTTTAAATTTTTCAAAATTGATTTGGATTTATTTTATTTATTTAATTTGATAAGTCAATAGTTGTAATTGCTGTCTAACATCTTCAGCAATTAACATAATTCTACAATCTAGTTTAGCATTTATACTTATAACTGATTTGGTATTGTCACTGTTAATAATTAAGTACTTTCTTAAAGTGAAATCTTTTTTTTTTTTACAATCTGAAAATAGTAGATAAGAAGTCAACATTCTTAGTTTAACTACTTATCAAAAAAAAAAACTATGCCTCAGAGAGCAGAAAACATAATTTAAGAAAACATTAGATAAACATAATTTAAAAACTAAACACATTAAAGTTCACCCAAATGAGATATAACTACCAATTAGTGTTTGTATTTAAAAAGCTAATCTTGTGTAAAAACCTCATCCTGAAAAAAGCGTCCATCAGGTGATGATGCAGGGTGCCCTTTTGCCCAGTTGGTAAACGATATGCCTTTGCCATCCGTCCAAACAAAACGCATTTCCCAGTTAATATCATTCATGCCAATCCAAAGATCATCCTGTTGGCTTAGGCTCTGTGCTGTTAGGAATGCTGGAAAAAAAAAAATAAATTCTTAACTTCAGAGAAGCTATTTCTTTAGTTTCAACATTCAGTTCAGTTCAATTCAAAAACACTTGATTAAATACCAAGGGAAATTAAATGCTGCAGTAACTCATAAGTTAATTTAATAAACAAATGTTGTAGGTGTTGATAGCTGAGGGCAGGAAGGATCTTCTGTAGCGGTCTGTCTTGCACTGGATCTGCAGAAGCCCCTTACTGAATACATTATTGTTTAAAAATCTTCTGAAGAGGGTGTGAGCACCATGTTGTCCATAATGTTCTTCACATTAAGAATAATTCTTCTTTGTGACAGAGTCTTCAGAGGTTCAATAGGGTTTCCTAGAACAGAGCTGGCCTTCTTAATTATCCAGTTGACCTTTTTTTAAAAGTCATTAGCTCTAATACTGCTACCACAGCAGATGATGGAAGAAGAGATCACATTCTCCACAACAAACTTATAGAAGATAAGTAGTGTTTTGCTGCATATGCCGAAGGACCTAAGAATGGACGTAGCAGATTTTTCTCCCTAAGCTTCCTTAGGAAGAACCATCTGTTCTGTCCCTTCTTGTAGACGGCTTCACAGTTGTGTCTCCAGGCTAGTCTGTTCTACAGGTTACCACCAAGCTATTTATACTCCTCAACCATCTCCACTTCTTCTCCCATGATGTTGACAGGATTCAACTTGTCCCTGTTTCCTCTGAAATCTACAGTCATCTCCCTTGTTTTGTAGACATTCAGGATCAGATGATTCTTTCCACTCCATGCCACAAAGCGGTTCACCAACTCTCTGTACTCAGTTTCTTGTCCATCTTTGATAAACCCAATGGCTGCAGAGTAATCACAGTACTTCTCCAGATGACAGGACTTTTTCTGGTCATCGGTTAAAATGTGTGCAAATCTTAAAGTTTATTTCTAAAACTAAATACAAAAGTACAAACTAAAATAGTGCTTCAATAGTTTTTGTATTAAAATTGTTTACACCCAAAATAGAGGTGATGTGTTTTAGACTGTTTTTGTTCAGTTTGTTCATTAAGTAAATTCTATATGTGAATATTTATTGAATAATGAAAATCCAGTGGGAAAAAAAGGTGTAAAAAATGTCTCCTTTTTTTCCCCAAAGGGCATAACACTTGAAAAGCACTAAGAGTACAGTATGACTGCTGTTGCTCATAGATGCAGGGGTTAAAGTTATGGAGATGTACAGATAACATTGTGGATTTGATGTGCATTTTGATGCATTCAATTGGGATTATTCAAATGAAAAGGTTTTAGCCTTCTATATTGAAATATTACCATGACCTGGTTGCGTTTTTATTTATAAAATGGATAAATGGCAAGATGAAGAGATAAAAACCAAAAAAAAAATGCATAATAGCACAAATTCAAGAACAGTTATCGGAGTTATATATAAAAACAATTGACTTAAATTTAAAAAATGATCAGCCCATCTTTTGTACCTAGTTCTACATGCTCGGTTGAACTCAGATGAGTGCAGAGCTTTAACAGTTAATTTAGACAAATACTCTGGGAAAAGGTGATTTACAACTTTAATACCAAATAGCAAGCCTATCCTAAGGCAAACTGGGAACTAGTAGAGAGAAAATTGAGGTAATATGGGAGAGCTTGGAAAATATTAGAGAAACCAAACAGATCCATTTTGGAACAGTTGAAGGTTATGAAGGATAAACTGGCTAATTCCTTGACTTTTGATAGGGAAAATTTCTATAACCACTGGTTCTAACGAGTTCGTCAAACTTTAAAGTGCCTTTAAAAAAATCACACCTCGGTCTCTTACCAGTGAAGTAAAAGGTAGAAAATTAAGACCAGTGATATGAGGATGATACCAAGGACCTTCAGCAAAGCAGATTCTGTGCTGTAATAGGACCTGAAGTCTGATTGAAATGTTTCAGCAATTTCATGCAATTAGCGGGAATGCTATAGCTGTGGCAGGACAAATTTTTCCATAACCTTGAGGGGAAAGGGCAGATGTGGAATTGGGATGTATTTGACCTCAAAAGGACCAAAACACTATCAGGATAGATGTTTGGTGTATATAAACTTTTTTTTAATCTTTTTTGTATAGCAAAATTTGCATTTTCTTGAATAAAAAACACATAAGTATTTGCATGATGCAAAGCTGGTGCTGTTCCTTTTTCCCCCCAAAATAAAAAAAAGGAAAAGTATATCTGGATAGGCAATTTGTAATAGTTTACCAGTCTTCATTTAGACAAGTGTAGTTTCTTCAATGCACCTTTTATATCTTGGCCAGTATAAACAATCACATGTAAAATTAATTCAGGAACCAACATCGTTGCTTAATTCAACTAAAGCATTGTAGGTTACACTGTAAGAAAAAAATTAGATAAACACACAACAATGATAAAAAAAAAAAAAAAAAAAAAAAACGTAAAGCATGCAGAGATGCATGTTTGGATCTCTGCATCTCGCACTGTACAGTAGGTGCTTACCTTGCTCTTTTTCGTTTGCAATGGACACCAGATTACCTCCCTCTTTTTGGCAGTGGCTTCTGGCATTCTGCCAGTTCTTCTTGTCCCCAAAGAATTTGTAGCACTGAGTTTACAGGACACATTTCATATGTAAGTTCTAACATACTCAGAATATGTAAACATTTTTCATGGATACAACAATGTGGAGTCTAAAATATATACAAAATATGTTATTTTTTGTATTTTAAAGGAATAATTACCTTTCCTCTAAAGGAAAGCCACTCAGGTGCACATCCTCCTTTGGCGGCCGTGGTCGGTGCCATTGTGGTATTAATAAAGCTGCTGCTTCTTTTGCAAACAGAAGGTAGCTCCAGGCCACAGTTAATGTCATTCCAATAGCCTACATGATCAAACATTTACAAAATAAGGTGAAATATTAGATTAAACAAACAGCATTGTTTTGGTATTATACTTACCCATGTTGCTGTATATTGTTACACAATTTTCATCATTGTTGGCAAAGTTTGGCTCATTGTTTTCCCAAGCAGTGTAAGTGACTGGTGTTCCATCTACCCAGCTAAGAACAGGAGACATTAGAAAATATATAATATAGAAAGACATTTGCTCCACTGATAAATGTTGTACCCAAGAGAAGGTTCTGCTTTCTGTTAAATTGCTCTAATTGATAATTGATATTTACCTAAAGGATTGATCCAAGTTCACAATCAAGCCAATGTAGTATTGTCCTTCAGAGTTCCTTGCTATCTGTGGAAACATACACATCAGAGAACTTTACATAAATCAAACCTTTTTTTGGCAGAAGACTAAAGTATTAAGATATAATTGTCAGTCATTTTGACCTCCCATGTCTAGCAATTAAATGCATTTCTCACTTGTTTCCAGATGAACTTCCTCTCACTTTCGGCTGTTATGACTACAAGTTCTCCGTAGTTCTTTCTGCAGTAATCTCTTGCAGCTTCCATCGGTAATCTTTCTTTGTTGATGTAGTATTGACTGTCATTGTATATGAGCCACCCATCTTCTGTTGTATTGAACACTGCAAAGTGGACAAACAGCTTTAAGTCATTCACAATATTATGTCTGTTTATTCTACTTTTTAACTGCTTGTTGTTTCCCAGTTCACATAGATAAGTATGTCCGTATTTAAAGAGTAGGTTTAAAAAACTGAAACAATATGCCATTTAAAAACAAATATTTTCTTAAAATTGACTTTTTTTTTACTGCTATCCACAATATATAAAAAACTAACATCTATCCGATGAGCACGGCTAGATGCTATTAGCGTAAACATAAAAAAAAAAAAACACAACTGCAAAAGTAAGAAGGAGAAAGTTCTCCCCAAAAGATGTGTTTAAAACAAGTAGAATATTTTACAAACCAGGGCTGCAAGGACATAATTATGTCAAAGTAAATAGTATATATACAGTGGGGCAAATAAGTATTTGAACACCCTGCTATTTTGCAATTTCTCTCACTTAGAAATTTTGGAGGGATCTGAAATTCACATCGTAGGTGCATGTCCACTGTAAGAGACTTGATCCAAAAAAAACCAAAAAATGTTAGTCTGGCTTTAAAATGTCCACATCCACTCCATTTATTATCCTAAATTAGATGCACCTATTTGAGGCCATTAGCTGCATAAAGACACCTTTCCAACCCATACAATCAGTAAGAATCTAACTACTAACATGGTCAAGACCACAGAGCTTTCCAAAGGCAATAGAGACTAAATTGTACACCTCCACAAGGATGGAAAGGGCTATGCGGAAATTGCCAAGCAGCTTGGTGAAAAAAGGTCCACTGTTGGAGCATCGTTAGAAAATGGAAGCTAAACATGACTGTCAATCTGCCTCAGACTCAATGCAAGATCTCACCTTGTGGGGCTTCAATGATCCTAAGAAAGGTGAGAAATCAGCCTAGAACTACATGGGAGGAGCTGTCCAGCGACGTGAAAAGAGCAAGGACCACCGTTTCCAAGGTTACTCTTGATAATTCAATAAGACGCCATGATTTTAAATAATGCATGGCATGGAAGGTTCTCCTGCTTAAACCAGCACATGCCAAGGCCTGCCTAAGGTTTACTATTGAGCATTTGGATGGTCCAGAGGAGTCGTGGTCAGATAAGACCAAAATAGAACTTTTTGGTCATAATTCCACTAACCGTGTTTGGAGGAAGAAGAATGATAAATACCATCCCAAGAACACTATCCCTACAGTGAAGCATGGGGGTGGTAGCATCATGATTTGGGGGTGTTTTTCAGCACATGGGACAGGGCAACTGCACTGTATTCAGGAGAGGATGACCGGGTCCATGTATTGCAAGATTTTGGGGAACAACCTCCTTCCCTCAGTTGGAGCATTGAAGATGGGTAAAGGCTGGGTCTTCCAACAGCATAATGACCCAAGCACACAACCAGGATAACTAAGGAGTGGCTCTTTAAGAAGCATGTCAAGGTTCTGGTGTGGCTCTAGGATTGGCATTTGACCTCTGATTTTGGATATCATTTAGCGCACTGTCCTTAAATTTTCCAAAATCATGCAGCTGGATACAAAAGGATTCAAGCTACTCAGTAAGTCTTAAAGGAATAGTACACCCAAAACATGATTAGCCTTCATTTTCTACTCA